TGGTATTGGTGCATAATGGGTACCTCTTATCTGTAAGTCTACTTTTGTTGTAATGGGAACATAATGAGTAACAGGTTATGTTTGGACTCAGGAGATTCCCATCTTTCCACACATTTCTTTGTCTGCTTCCAGGACACTTATGACCCAAAATATATGGTTTCCTGTCAGTTTAGAGGTTCCTGCTTTTCTCTGGCTGCCCACGGGCTGTTTTTAAGATGTATGATTTCCTGCCACCTGTCTTCTGTCCCCATTTCTCTGCTCATACCTAGCTACCTGCCTATTGAAACCAGTGGTGTTTCTGTTCGTACTATTTCTGTGGATCTTATTGTGCTTTAATCCCTTAGACAAAAGTCACATTCGTAAATCTCTTTGAGATAGGGTCTACTCTGTTATTAAGTCTGCTGTGGTACAACACTCTAAGATTCCTAAAGTGCTGCTTTATAAGGTACTGCCCTAAATCTTTCTGAGATTATAGCAAAAGGTTTATAGCCACACACTTGTGATTACTCTGAGACAATAATTTACTAGCAACAGCTTGAATTTGATATTTGTTATAAGGCCATTTTTACTTTGAGAACCTTCTGCTGGGAGAGATTAGGGATGGAAGTAGCTTTACTTTTGAATCATCAAGTCACGACTCTTACAGTTCCTCTAAACTCTGCTTAAAAGTTAAAAAGTTCTTTCTTTAGTTTATCTCTCTCTGTCTAAATCTTGTTGTCAAGGCTAAAAGAAATAAGTTGGCACTTTCACCATTCATCCTGGAAGATTCCTTAGCCAGGCCTACCTTTTGTATTTACCTTGTTACTGAAAGTGCCAGTTGTAACTGAACTTTATGTAACTGTGTAACATGGGCCTTTCTCCATCTTCAGTAACAGCCTCCTCATTGTTCTTCCAGCCTTCACTAACATGTGTCTCTGAGACCCTTTAGGCCTCCACTCACTGCCTGGCCCTGATGCCACACATTTCTGTTCTGGTTATCCATGGTTTAACAAAGCTATGCGCAAACTTAGTGGCTTAAAACAATCACTGTAATTTTTATGTGATTTTGTGGGTTTTAGGAAGGTACTGCTGGTTTTAGCGGGTACTGCTGAGGCCCATCCACAAGCCTGGGACTTCTGTGCTCCTTCACCTCAGTTTCTTTTCATGCAGACTCTCCTCTCCTCAGGCCTCTTCCTGTCACTTAGGCATGTTACAGGTTAGTGCGCTGGGCTCAGAGTGGTTGCACTTCTTACATGATGAATGGTTTCCAGGAGAGGGTTTTGCAGGAGTGAGTGATGAGCGCGAGTTCCAAGAGGCAGGAAGAAAAGTTTCAGGCCAGTTAAAGGCTAGTGCCTAGAACTGCCACTGTCACTTCTGCCGTCTTCTTTTTATCAAAGTAATTAGAGACAGCTCACTCTAACAAGACTCTGCCTCTTGTTAGGGAAGTGGCAGGATCACACTGCAGAAGCGCATGTAGGTGGGAGGTAATGTTGCAAGACATCTTTGGAACTTAAGTTGGCCACAGGGGTGCAGCCTCACTGTTCCCAAATGGATACCACTTGGATCAGAGTTCTTTGTTGAACAGTCGGTTCTCTTTCATTGATACGTAATGTCTGGTCTGTCATAAATCAGGTTTCTAGACATGTGTGTATTTGTTTTAGATTGCCTTTTTGCACTCTTGATTTTCAGCTGGGGGTTATTCTGCAGGGAATAATACGTGGAGACATTTTTGGCTGTCATACTTGGGAGAAGGTGCTACTAGCATCTAGAGAATAGAGGCCAGGCTTACTGCTAAGCATCTTATAATGTACAGAACTGCCTCCCACAGCAAAGAATCATCCAGCCCCAAATGTCAATAATGCTGAAATTGAGAAATCATGCTCCATACCACCAGTATTGTCCTGCCATATTATCTTAATTAGCTTAAAGTTGATAGAGTAAGTCATCTCACTTTGCTTTTCATCTTTAAGAATGAATGTCTTAATTATGTTTGATCACTTGTGTTTCCATATAAATTTTAGAATCAGTTTATCATGTGTCATGAAAAACTATATTTTGGTTGGAATTTCATTATAACTATATATCTTCATGAGGAGCATTGAGATTTTATGATATTGAATCCTCTTATTCACTAATATGATATTTCTGTCAATTTAATTCTTTGATACCTTTTAATAAAACTTCATAATTTTCTTATTAAAAGGTTTGCAAATCTTTTGTGCAAGATTTACTCTCTTGGCCAGTTAGCTGTGAGGCTTGTAATAAGTTGTGTTCCTCTTTTGGGCCTTAATTTCCCTAAGTGAAAAATGTGACATTTGAATAGATCATCTATAACAGGTTTTCAAGCCCCAGATGACATGATTAAAATGTTAGAAATTGAAAACTTTGAATGCACAAAATACAAGTAGTCTACTAGAGGGAGCTCTTCTGCATTTTGTCTCTTGCCAGATTGCCAGTCAGGTGCGAAGGTAACTGCATCAGCTACTGATGTTAATAGCTGCAGATGCTATAGTGCAGACCTCATCTCATCAGGGCAGGGGAAGAAGGTGACTCCCTGGTATCTCTTTGGTCACAGTTCTCCATAAAAGAAATGTTGCCTTGGTCCAGGGAAGATATCATTTTTTTTTTTTTTTTTCTGAGTGTGGAAAGACAAGCAACATATTTTGAACCTAGGAGGAAACTTACGGATCATCCAATTTAATTCCTTTATTTAAAAGTGAAAAAGCTATGATTTAGAGACACTTTCACTTTCCAAAGGACAAACAGACAATTTGTGAGAGAGACAAATCTGAAACTCAAGTTCATACTTTTCACACTATAGTGAGGGAATGGAGAAAAGAAGTAAGCAGTGGATTTGAGTGATGGAATGGGAGTAGGGGTTATGTTTAATTTTTAAAGGACTGAGAGGTGGGTGGTCTGTGAATTCCCTGGAATTATTATATGTATGTCAGGGCTTCCCAGGTGGCACCAGTGGTAAAGAACCCTCCTGCCAATGCAGGAGACATAAGAGATAGAGTTTTGATCCCTAGGCTGAAAAGATCCCCTTGAGGAGGGCGTGACAACCCACTCCAGTATTCTTGCCTGGAGAATCCCATGGACAGAGGAGCCTGGCGGGCTACAGTCTATGGGGTTGCAGAGAGTTGGGACACTACTGAAGCGACTTAGCATGCATGCACGCATGTTTATGTGAATGTGAGAGTTTGTGTGTATGTGTCTGCATGTGTGTGCACACACTTGCTGTATTTTGGATGTGATTGTTGGCTTCTAAGAAATAGGATTGGACTGTGGTAAGCCAGTGTTTACTTACAAAGCAGAATAACTTTCACTGGTTTTAGAGATTCATTTAATTTATAAATTGTAATCGTTTGGAAATACCTGCCTTTGTAACTTGATTACCAAAAATTTAAGCTATCTTTCAGTTTATTTACCTTTAATTTAATGATTTCCAGATCTCATTTTTTTCCTTACTCAAAACTGACTTTTCAAATAAAGTGTGGTTTTTGGATGTTCTTTTCAGAAGATGGAACTCAATTGCTCTCTGTTAGTCATCCTTTTTGAAGTCTATTGTGACTGTTTTTGAAATGTTTCTCCATAGTACTCTTATTATTTATAATTCTTCTGGTTTACCTTGATAGAGACTTTCCTTGCTAACTGTAGACATTTAAAATTTCCTTATTTCTGCAGTTGCCTTATGAATAGTATCTTTATGTTTATTTGGATTACTTGTTTATGGATATCATGGACAAGATTTTAAGCCTTTTGTTTGGCTTACATAAATAAAAAATAAAAATAGAAGTCTTTACCTATTGACTTCTTTGTCAACTTTTAAGAACTAGAGTTCTTATGTTACTTTTTCAATGCAGTACAATATATCCTTCTCTAGCAAGCTAACAGGAAAAGATTCTCTGAGAAAAATATGTATTTAATTGCCTCTTGTTCTTTATCAGCTATGTCCTAGACCAGTTTAAAGAGAGTCAGATTGTATTTAGACTTCTATGTATTTGTCCATGGAGTGATGGTACCTAGGGTGGATAAAAGCAGAGAAGGGGTATAAATGGCAGAATAAGGATACTGGGACCTGGAGGAAGGCAACCCACTCTTGTGTTCTTGCCTGGAGAATCCCCATGGACAGAGGAGCCTGGCAGGCTTCTGTGTGAGGGGTTGCAGAGAGTTGGACTGAGAGACTAAGGACAGCACAAGGGTCCTGGGGAGCTTTCTGTCTCCAAGATGAAGTTTTAGACTGTAGCTGCAATCTCAGTGTGAAGTGTTAGATATTCAAGGAAAGGAGGGTTAATCTTTATTAGAAACACTTATGAAAATAAATATTAGGCCAAATGATTTTTGTTCTAGTGTTCATCTCCTCAGCAAGTATTACTGAAGTTTTATCTATCAGTAATTTCAGCTTGCATGTGTGCTTAGTCTGTCAGTCGTGTCTGACTCTGCGACGCCACGGACTGTAGCTCGTAGGCTCCTCTGTCCATGGGGATTCTCCAGGCAAGAATACTGGAGTGGTTGCCATGCCCTCCTCTCGGGGATCTTCCCAACGCAGGGACTGAACCCAGGTCTCCTGTACTGCAGGCAGATTCTTTACCATCTGAGCTACCAGGGAAGCTTACTTGCATACTAACCAGCTAAAAATTTCAGCTGGAGTTAGATGGCAGTAAGGGCTTTGATCTGGGTGAAAGAAATGACTTTCTTTTTAGGGTTAAGGTTCCATTAAAAACATCTTTAATCATGAAAATCAAGTGACAGAACAAGGTTTATTTATTTAAAAATGTGTCACATGTTTGACTCCTGTTTTTCCTTCATAAAGGTGATTTGATGGACATAATGGATGAATGTTTTTAAAAAATCATATATTGTTGGGTGCAATTAGATGTGTGTAATTATTTAAGTATGAATTGATTATCCGAAGTTTGTAATTATATAAATTCTCAAGGGTACAAGAAGTGGGGATTACCGTTAAAATATCTGTGTTTCCCACTGACTGCAATAATAGAAATTTTCTTCTTTGTTTTTAGATTTCCTCCTTCTTCACCCCTGAAGCCTTATCCAAAGAGGCCTCCATATCAAAAGGATGTTATTAAATTTCCAAAATGGAATGATCCCCCACCAGGCACTTCACAAGAGAACATCCCGGTGAGGCCACTTGTGATGGTAAGTGCCAGTATAGAAGCTGGTGGACTAGCAGCGGGAGAGAGAGAGAAAAAAGTCTGTGAACCATTAGGCTTAGTCCAGTTTTTTTGTTGGTCCCTTGGAAATAGTGGTGTGAAAGCACTCTAAAACAATGTCTTAGCTGTCAGTAGCTGAGAGACTAGTAGCACAAGAAGATTGGCTTTTGCATTTTTCACTCTTGCCCATTGACACTTGGACCGAATAGGTGGTACCCGTTTTTATACATTTAGACTGAGCAGGTTTCTCATAAAACTCCCTTATAATTTCCTTTCCTTTTCTATTTCCTCAATTCCCTTTTTGTCTCCTCTTCCTGAACTTTGTTGTAATTATTACCAGTTGAAAGTGTAAAGGTTGGGACATGGAGAATTGTGGAGCGAGCCCTGATAATATGAACAAAGGTATAGTTTGGAGAAACCTAAGCACATTGTAGAATAAACTGCCTTTTTGGAAGCGTACTTTTCTCTTGAAATATCCCCAGTAGAAAAGCACTAAGATTGAGATAATGCTAAAAAATAAAATGTAGACAAAAACTTCTATAGGCAATTTTTTTAAAGAATTGTACTAACAACCATGTTTTAAGTTAGTTTAGTCTTATAGGACTAGATGTCCAGTTCCTACATTTGCAGAGGTGTGTTGTAAACATTTTTAGGCAATGAGATTGAATGTGGTTATATTGTATCTCAGTTTGGAGAGAATAATTAAGCAGCTTAGCCTTTATCAGAAATAATTCAGGAGTGAGACCAGTGACAGAAATGGGGACTCCCTATGGACTTGCAGATTTTTTAGGGACAGTGATGAATGTAGTTTTAATTATGCTTGATGATAAAGGTAGGTGATATTATATGGAAATGTCTAACAGGCAGGTGGAGGTAATGGCCCTGGAAGTTAGATGAGAGGTCATATTTGAAAGTCATTAATTTATTCTTTCAAAAAACATTTATTGAGTGTTTGCTATGTGCCATGCATTGTGCCAGGTTCTATAGATACAGTTGAATGTGATATAGTTTTTCCTCCAGAAGAGCTCATTTAGTGATAGGTGATTAGGAAACAGTGGGACTACTCTGAAAGAGTGAGCACAAAGGGTATTTGAGGATCATTTAATTCATTACTAATGAGAAGTTAATTAAGCTCTAGCTGATAGTTTCTGTGCTCGAGAAAATTAAAATATAAGCTCCATGAAATCAGGTTCATTTTTGAAAAAGAAATTTGTATTTAAACACCTAATATGACCCCAATCAGTAGAGTGGTTATTCAGCAGATGTTTTTTCATTGTGAGGTCATCTAGTGTTGTTTATACACAACAGGTAAAACCCCATATTAAACTAATGTGTATATATGTCATCAATATAATAACTTCCCTTTTCTGTTCTTTTTGGTTCTGTGAACCTCTAGGAAGACCAGCTGCTCATTAGTCACTTTCATGCACCAATGAAGAAGACAGTGTCTTCTCTCTTCTCTCATCTGTTTTCAGTTTTTTTCTCATTTTCAGTAATCCTGAGGTCATCTGCCAGTGACTCCGATTCATCACCCATTCCCCACCCCACCCCCCCCATAGCTTGTCATGTCCCTGATTATTTGGATATTTCTGATAACCTTGCTCTTGCCTTTTCTTGTCTTAACCTTAAATTAAGTGGTGGAGGTTTGAGCTCCTCACTTGTTCCAGCTCCTCCAGTGCTTGGGCTCTGCTTCTTGGGAACTGTCCAGAGAAAAAATGGCAGACTAGGATCTGTTTTCTCAGTTGGGCCTCAATGCAGTTGTTAGATTGATGATGTTAGTAGTCAATAGAGAAACAGTCCATCTTTCTTAAAGCACTTGAGTTCGTTTTCCTTTTTTTATCTTACTTTCCCTCTTTCTATCTCTGCCTCCACTTTTCTTTTTTTTTTTCCCCCCACTTTTCTTATTGGTTTTGTTTTTGTTCTGTCCTGTCCTCTCTTGCTTAGCCATTATATAAAATAAAATGAAGTGCAGCAAATAAAACAATTTGTTGTGTTTGCTGACAGGCAGCAGGTGGAGAGTGAGCTCTGGAGACAGACTGCCGGGTCTGAATCTTGGTTCTTCATTTATTAGCTGTGCAAGCTTGTTTCTCTGTTTCATTCACTGTGTCTGTGTCTAAGTTTTCTTTTTGGTGATAGTGGGATGATAACACTCCCCTGGGTAAGATGGTCATGGCACTCAAGTGATTTCATATCTATAGTGTGTTTACAAGGGTGCCTGACACACAGGCTTTGGAAAACTGTTAATTGCTATTGCCATTATTAATAGAGTTGTTCATAGATAGAGACAAAAGAAAAAATTACTCATAGTATCATCCAGAGAGAATTAATGTTAACTCTTATTTTTTTCCTATGCATTTTTTTTAAAGGTTGTCATATTTGCAATATGGCCCCAGCTCCAGCCCCTCACAGGGCCCGCTAGAGTGGCAGGTTGGCCATGCCACCCGGAGCCGGGATGTAGCCCATCTGGTTGTCCAGAGACACACTGCGCTGCCGCAGGTGGTGGGAAATCATGAGGTTCTGCTGGGGCAGAAGGCCCAGGAGGGAGCCCTGTGGGGAGTGCATGTCGGGGGGCTGGCTGTAGACCTTACCCGCCGTGGCCTGCTGCTTCATCAGCATGAAATTCTGCTTGGTCATGAGGCTTTGTGGGGGTCGGGGGGACATGACACCCTAGGGCAGGCTGTGGGGCACCATGCCCTGCTGTGGGGGCACACCTGTCCTGCCCAACAAGGATGTCTATCTATCTGGGGTGGCACATAGACATGTTGAGCTCCCACTGCTATGCATGTTTTTAACACTGTAATGAGGTCATGCTGTTCTGTGTTGGTTGCCTGTTTCTACACTTAGAACAGTATATTGTGTCCATTTTTTAATGTTATTAAACATTCAGTATCATTTTTAATATCTGCATCTTGTCTGTAAAGTACTATAGTTTATCCAGTCCTTCACGGTTAGATATGTATTATACCATGTTTTCAACTTTTTCATTCTATGTGTAAACAATTTAATTAGCAGTTATCTTTACAGATAAATAATTGAATATTTGTTTAAGATAACTTTTGGAAGTGAATTGGCTAGGCAAATGCAACAACTGACATTCCTACTGTCAAAAGAGAACACTTAATTTAGATGGTTTAAAAAAAAGTACAAATCCACATGATCTTCAAGTTTCTTTTGCAATTTAGAAATTCTCAAAAACAAACCCCAAAACCGTATCAAAGAACAACTTTACAGCTCATTTTTTCCAATTAAGATTTTTCTATAGTGATACTTCTGCAAAAACCTTTTATAATAAAAGCACTTTGTAGATGACTTCTTATATGTTTTGCCTTTAAAAGTTCAAAAGTTCCTCTCTGTGATTACCAAAAGGGAGTTTAAGACTTCTGTCTAGTAGCCTAAATGTGAGAAGGGAGATGCTAAGAATATTGAGCGTTAAAGCAGTGTGAGTTTGAGCAAATTACTTCACCTCTTTGGGCTTTAGTTTTTCTTCCTGGTTATCTCCAGATGTCCTTGTAGAGCTCTTGTTTTCCTGCCTTCTTCAGATGTCTAAGATCTCGGGACTGCTATCTAACATTGTACTTACTTGATTTTTTCTTATTTATTTATTTATTTTTTAAAAGTTCTTGAAAGTAATAGGCTTTAATGTTATTGTAGGCAGTCACTTAATTTGAATAGTGTGAATTTGGATTGATATTCCTCAAGTTAATTTTTAATTAATGAAGTTTTATCACTGCTACTTCACTGATTAGTTGGCACTCCCACAGGAGAAAATAGCTAATGTCATGCTTACTGCTATAGCTCTTTGGCAATTCTTGACTATTCATTTATGATATGATCTGATCTTTAAGAGTTATACTTTATTACCCTGTAGTCCATGCAAAGAAAGTTAGTTTATTTTCAAAATGATTATTTAAATCAAGTTTAAAAATAACCAAATCAAAGAAATTTTTCATAAAATCATACCACTGTCTACTGAAATATTTGTTCTCTCTTTCTTTTTCCACTCCCTCACCCCCAATTAGAATTCTGAGATGTGGTACAAGCGTCACAGTATTGCTATTGGAGAGGTGCCGGCTTGCCGTCTTGTACACCGCAGACAGCTGACAGAGGCCAATGTAGAAGAGATCTGGAAGTCTACGACATTATCATAGTATGTGCATTTGATATTAATGAGATCTTTAATATTGGTTTTTTGTTTGTTTGTTTTGCTTCTCTGCTACTCTGTATACTTAATTTTCTGAAACTGTGTATAAAAATCTCAACTTTTGAGTGCATTATTTGCACCTATCCTGCTTAGCAAGCAGACTTTTACTGAATTCAGGGAATTTTCTATTATCATTTATACTAATTAAGAATAGAACTTTAGAAGTTTTTTTTTTTCTTTTGCCCACAACCCAGAAATATCTACTGGTTAAATATTTTTATTTTTAAAAATTTAACTCTAGTTGATTTATAATATTGTGTTAGTTTCAGGTGTACAACTTCAGATTCTTTTCCATTATAGGTTAGTACAAGATATTGAATATAGTACAATATACTCTGCTTTACAGTAAATCCTTGTTGTTTATCTATATTGCTTATAGTGGTACATGTCTGTTAATCCCATACTCCTAATTTATCCCTCCTCCTGGCCTTTATCCTTACTGTTCAGTTCAGTCACTCAGTCGTGTCCGACTCTTTGTGACCCCATGAACTGCAGCAGGCCAGGCCTTCCTGTCTATCACCAACTGCTGGAGTCTACTCAAACCCATGTCCATTGAGTCGGTGATGCCATCCAACCATCATCCTCTATCATCCCCTTCTCCTCCTGCCCTCAATCTTTCCCAGCATCAGAGTCTTCTCCAATGAGGCAGCTCTTCGCATTAGGTGGCCAAAGTACTGGAGTTTCAGCTTCAACATCAGTCCTTCCAGTGAACACCCAGGGCTGGTTTCCTTTAGGATGGACTGGTTGGATCTCCTTGCAGTCCAAGGGACTCTCAAGAGTCTTCTCCAACACCACAGTTCAAAAGCATCAATTCTTTGGTGCTCAGCTTTCTTTTTAGTCCAACTCTCACATCCATACATGACTACTGGAAAAACCATAGCCTTGACTAGATGGACCTTTGTTGACAAAGTAATATCTCTGCTTTTTAATATGCTGTCTAGGTTGGTCATAACTTTCCTTCCAAGGAGTAAGCATCTTTTAATTTCATGGCTGCAGTCACCATCTGCAGTGATTTTGGAGCCCCCCAAAATAAAGTCAGCCACTGTTTCCACTGTTTACCCACCTACTTGCCATGAAGTGATGGGACCAGATGCCATGATCTTAGTTTTCTGAATGTTGAGCTTTAAGCCAACTCTTTCACTCTCTTCTTTAACTTTCATCAAGCGGCTCTATAGTTCTTCTTCACTTTCTGCCATAAGAGTGGTGTCATCTGCATATCTGAGGTTATTGATATTTCTCCCAGCAGTCTTTATTCCAGCTTGTGCTTCCTCCAGCCCAGCGTTTTTCATGATGTGCTCTGCATATAAGTTAAATAAACAGGGTGAAACATACAGCCTTCACGTATTCCTTTTCCTATTTGGGACCAGTCTGTTGTTCCATGTCCAGTTCTAACTGTTGCTTCCTGACCTGCATATAGGTTTCTCAAGAGGCAGGTCAGGTGGTCTGGTTTCCCATCTCCTTCAGAATTTTCCACAGTTTATTGTGATCCACACAAAGGCTTTGGCATAGTCAATAAAGCAGAAATAGGTGTTTTTCTGAAACTCTCTTGCTTTTTCTATGATCCAGCGGATGTTGGCAATTTGATCTCTGGTTCGCCTGCCTTTTCTAAAACCAGCTTGAACATGTGGAAGTTCACGGTTCACATATTGCTGAAGCCTGGATTGGAGAATTTTGAGCATTACTTTACTAGCATGTGAGATGAGTACAGTTGTGCGGTAGTTTGAGCATTCTTTGGCATTGCCTTTCTTTGGGACTGGAATGAAAACTGACCTTTTCCAGCCCTGTGGCCATGGCTGAGTTTTCCAAATTTGCTGACATACTGAGTGCAGCACTTTCACAGTATCATCTTTCAGGAGTTGAAATAGCTCAACTGGAATTCCATCACCTCCACTAGCTTTGTTCGTAGTGATGCTTTCTAAGGCCCACTTGACTTCACATTCCAGGATGTCTGGCTCTAGGTGAGTGTGAGTGATCACACCATCATGATTGTCTGGGTTGTGAAGATCTTTTTTGTATAGTTCTTCTGTGTATTCTTGCCACCTCTTCTTAATATCTTCTGCTTCTGTTGGGTCCCTGCCATTTCTGTCCTTCATTGAGCCCATTTTGGCATGAAGTGTTCCCTTGGTGTCTCTGATTTTCTTGAAATCATCTTTATCCTTTGGTAACCATAAGTTTGTTTCTATGTCTGTGAGTCTATTTGTATTGTATAAATAAGTTGATTTGTATTATTTTTTTAGATTCCACATGTAAGTGGTATCATGTAATATTTATTTTTCTCCTCACTCACTTCTGTTAGTGTGATAGTCTATAGGTCTATCCACATTGCTGCAAATGTCTATATTTTATTCTTTCTTATGGCTGAGTAATATTCCATTGTGTATATGTATCACATCTTTATCTGTTCATGTGTCGATGGACACTTAGGTTATGTAAATATTGCTGCAGTGAACCTTGGGGTGCATATATCTTTTTGAACTAGAGTTTTCATCTTTTCTGGATATAAGCCCAGGAGTGGGATTGCTGGATCATGTGGTAACTCTATTTTCAGTTTTTTAAGGAACTTCCACACTGTTTTCCATAGTGACTGCACTAATTTACATTCCCATTTACAGTAGAGGACGGTTCCCTTTTCTCCACACCCTCCGTAGCGTTTATTATTTGTAGACTTTTTGATATTGGCCATTCTGACTAGTGTGAGGTGGTGACTTGTTTTGATTTGCATTTCTCTAATAATTAGTGTTGTAAAGTTTTTAAAGTTTCTAGTTACATTGAAATCTTAAGCTTAATGAAATATATAATGGAAAATTTGGGCTTCTAGATATATGATAAACGGTAGATAACTAAAGTTAACAATGTCATAACAGGTTTTCTAAAAGAAAGTTTATAAAGATATACTCGTAGCAGTTTCTTATCATTGGTTAAGATAGTTTTTATTATTATGGTATTTAATTTAAAAATAATTTTCCGGGATGGGGAATACATGTAAAAAAAAAAAAAAAAGATACACTATGGTTGTGATAAAAAAAATAAATAAATTAAAAAAAAAATAATAATTTTCTTGACATTCAGTGTGTTATGTTTTTAAGTTAGTGAAGTACTACATTAATGACAAAAGGGTCTTTTTAAAGTTTGTTTTATATACTCAATGTCTGGCCTTTTTGCCCCATAAAAATCAGGTAAAACACATGAAAACAGCACATTTTAAAAATCTTTTATAGTGCTGGGTCTTGGGCAGATGATTTTTAAAAAGTAATTAATATAATGGTTTATCTTTTTAGTTTACAGAAAATCCTTGGCCTGGATTCCTTAGAAGAGGTTTTAGACATTACACTTGTCAACTCCAAGTTCATCATCCATAATGTATACAGTGTGAGCAAGCAAGGAGTTGTTATCCTTGATGACAGGTCAAGTAAGTGCATAAAAGCCATTTTGTTCTCAGTTGACCGAGTGCATTGACTGTACAGTCCATCTGCTTCTATTTGACCTTTCCCTAAACCCTACATAAGTTTACCCCCTCATTCTGTAAAGCTTTAGCTTACTTCCAAAGACCTTTATACTAATTGTTTATATTCGGGAAATGTCATTGGAAGATGAATACCCAGGAGTGAAGGCCTGAGCCACATCCATCTAGAGGCTAGTTCACTGGTAGCCACGTGGTAGTATAAAGTGGTTCTTTGTCATCCCCAGGAAATCCCTGAGAAGTAAGTTTAATGCCTAACAGATTCTTTGAGTCAACTTTTAGGTGGGTCCAGGGGCCTGACTGATTTTCAGAGCTCTCATTGAGCTTTTCATTATGGTGTCTTTGTGTCAGATTTTCAGGGATAGTCTTGGTTTATATCATTTTCCCCCTTTTTTACAAAGGTAGCTTTTTAGATGTTGAAGGTGCTTTAATTTTTTTATACCTTTTTACTCCAAGCCAGTTTACAAATTGGGGAAAATGAACATTTAGCAACTCCCTGTCCTGATTTTTGACTAAGAAAAATACAGTGCTTGTAACTGTAGTGAGCCAGAGTCCTCAAACTGATTTAAAAATTTCCTTCCCCTGAATAAGGGATGGATCCACATTGGATGCACTCTTTGATTGCTGCTTCTTTTACTTCAAACTCTTCATCCTAGGAATTAGCTGGAGCTAGAATGACCTTTGGATGTGGGAAGATGGTACTTTCGGGTTTTTATAAATTAATATTAAATGAAGCGCTGGAGGCTCCTGGGCAGCAAGCAAAGCTGGCCTAGAAGGAGCCTGAGCAGTGAGAAGGGAAGAGGTTTTTCTAGGCCATGTTTCTTGACAGGAGCAGAATGTGTCTTTGAAACCTGAAACAATTTTCCTTTAAAGCCCATGTATCAGGAATGGAGAATGTTAGGAAACAGAAATAAATAGCTTTGTGACTTCTTGAATTGTCAGGTTAATAACAATGTATAAAACTAAGTTACATAGAATGAGAGGGCTTTTGCCTTTGAAATACATTTAAAATCCTTCCGCATTCTCCTGAGTATAGCAGACATGAATACTTCCAGCTACAGCTGGATGATCAGTTTTGTTTTATTAAGTACGTGCTTGAGAAAGAAGAAAGCATTTCATAAGCCTCAGGTTCATTAGCTCTAACACAAGTCAACCAGTGTCTTTGCAATTTCACAGACAGTGGAGAAGGTGTCAAGGACAAGTGTGAGTGCTGGTTCATCAGATGTCTGTGGCAGGGCCGGGGAAGAGACCCGGTACCGAAAAGCTTAGCTGGGGTTTTTGTAGCATTGCTAACCATTATTATTTTAAGGCTGTCCTAATACTGATAGCCTGTACTGATATGTCAGTGGCACTTTCTTGCCTTAAGACATTTTGAAAATTGAAGCTTCTAAAGTGATTGAACATTGGACATAACAGAATTCACCTTTTTCTTTTTTTTTTAAAGATATTTGGTGAACTGGTTTCATAAATGCATTTGATGACTCATACTTTTGCTTTTTCTGTTTTTCTTCTTTTTGTATAATTCTTAGTATAATTGATTTATTTCTTTGGAACAAAGTATCAAATTTCTTGTTTTCCCTAAAGCTTTACAAGTACATCTTGTCTTGAGAAAAATTTACAGTTATGGTTTATATAAGAATGAGTTGTAACATTGCTGCTAACGAAAAATTTTTATCTTTTCAGTGTTCTGATACATAAGTAAGTGATTTGTGATTAGCCCGATATGTTTCATATTACTTGGGACAAGTATCATTCTTATGATACCAACTATGTATATAATACTTTGAGTTATATGTAATTGAATAAAGTATCTTTTTATTTTCCTTTTTCTGCAGAAGAACTTCCTCATTGGGTACTGTCAGCTATGAAGTGTTTGGCAAATTGTGAGTACTAAGAATTAGTGCCCTGAATTACAAAATATTTTTGCTCAATGGCCTGAAGATTGATTTGACACCTGTGAGACTGGCAGTTAACTGGGGATTCCTGTGTTTTCAGTGATAAATTTGTGACTTAGTGAAAGGGCTGAGTTATAGAGCATTTTATTTTATTTTTTCATTTATTTTTATTAGTTGGAGGCTAATTACTTTATAATATTGTAGTGGTTTTTGCCATACATTGACATGAATCAGCCATGGATTTATATGCATTCCTCATCCCGATCCCCCCTCCTGCCTCCCTCCCCATCCCATCCCTCTGGGTCTTCCCAGTGCACCAGCCCTGAGCACTTGTCTCATGCATCCAACCTGGGCTGGTGATCTGTTTCACACTTGATAGTATACTGTTTCAATGCTATTCTTTCAGAACCCTCGCCTTCTCCCATAGAGTCCAAAAGTCTGTTCTGTACATCTGTGTCTCTTTTTCTGTTTTGCATATAAGGTTATCGTTACAATCTTTTTAAGTTCCATATATATGTGTTAGTATACTGTATTGGTCTTTATCTTTCTGGCTTACTTCACTCTGTATAATGGGCTCCAGTTTCATCCATCTCATTAGAACTGATTCAAATGAATTCTTTTTAATGGCTGAGTAATATTCCATTGTGTATATGTACCGTAGCTTCATCTGCTGATGGGCATCTAGGTTGCTTCCATGTCCTGGCTATTATAAACAGTGCTGCGATGAACATTGGGGTGCATGTGTCTTTTTCAGATCTGGTTTCTTGGTGTGTATGCCCAGGAGTAGGATTGCTGGGTGATATGGCAGTTCTATTTCCAGTTTTTTAAGGAATCTCCACACTGTTCTCCATAGTGGCTATACTAGTTTGCATTCCCACCAACAGTGTAAGAGGGTTCCCTTTTCTCCACACCCTCTCCAGCATTTATTGCTTGAAGACTCTTGGATAGCAGCCATTCTGACTGGCATGTAATGGTACCTCATTGTGGTTTTGATTTGCATTCCTCTGATGATGAGTGATGTTGAGCATCTTTTCATGTGTTTGTTAGCCATCTGTATGTCTTCTTTGGAGAAATGTCTGTTTAGTTCTTTGGCCCATTTTTTTATTGGGTCGTTTATTTTTCTGGAATTGAGCTGCAGGAGTTGCTTATATATTTTTGAGATTAATTCTTTGTCTGTTGCTTCATTTGCTATTATTTTCTCCTATTCTGAAGGCTGTCTTTTCACCTTGCTTATAGTTTCCTTTGTTGTGCAAAAGCTTTTAAGTTTCATTAGGTCCCATTTGTTTATTTTCGCTTTTATTTCCAATATTCTGGGAAGTGAGTCATAGAGGATCCTGCTGTGATTTATGTCGGAGAGTGTTTTGCCTATGTTCTCCTCTGGGAGTTTTATAGTTTCTGGTCTTACATTTAGATCTTCAATTCATTTGAGTTTATTTTTGTGTATGGTGTTAGAAAGTGTTCTAGTTTCATTCTTTTACAGGTGGTTGACCAGTTTTCCCAGCACCACTTGTTAAAGAGGTTGTCTTTTTTCCATTGTGTATTCTTGCCTCCTTTGTAGAAGATAAGGTGTCCATAGGTACGTGGATTTATCTCTGGGCTTTCTATTTGTGACTTAGTGAAAGGGCTGAGTTATAGAGCATTTTAAAAGGGATTTTTGTACTTCTGTTTTCTTGTGGGTAAAATCGCACTGCAAATAGCATCCACACTGCTTCTTTTGAATGCTTCATCACAGAAAAGAATAATTAGTAATATTGAAAACAATATTGTAATAGATAAATGCCTGTCAGCAGTTTATTTCTAAAGCATGTATTCCTAAGTATGCCTTATATTTACATCATTAGTTTACTCAGCAGATTCTGTTTCCCATTGGCTTTTTATAGGGCAATGGTTTAAGTTGAAGAGAAATGTTTTAGAAGACAAATCTAATTAGTGTGCTGCATAGTTTGGAAGAAGAACCTGTATATAGAGAAACAAGAAAGACTGTTTCAGTAATTTGGCTATCAGATGAGGGGCCTGGACAAGGCGATGCCTCTGAAGTTTTTCATAGGCATATGAAGTCTTCTTCATAGGATATCTTGGGCACTGTGAAGAAATGAGTTATTAGAGTATTTCACTAACACAGCTGTTTCTCTGGAATTCCTAGAAGTCTTAACTCAAAGAAGGGATTCTAATGGTTAATGGCTTACACCAAACAAGTGATTGTAATAAGAATTCTAGTTATCTTAGCTGAGTGGTAATGGTGATATTTCGTCTATAAAGTCTTTAGAGTCTTAAAGATCACCTCAGAGAGGTAGTTTCTTTCCTCCCTTTTGAGTAAGGCTAGCATGTATAGAGATTGCTGTATAAATTATTAAATTAGTAGGCCCTGAATTATTAATTTCACAGATTAGTTTTGTTTGATTATAGAGTGAAACTAAAGTAACTGTTCAACTCACTGTGGGTGATCTTAGTGATGATATAAAAATGATGATATGCTATCATCCTGAATATGAATAACAGTGTTAGTTTGTGTGAAGACCAAAGTTCTCTGAGTTTCTTAAGATTTTTCATTGGGTTTTGGTTCATGTTTTAGAACATCTGAGATGTAGAGTACTGTGGTTTTAGTTTGGAGGAATGCTTTTTATTCTCGTTCAATCATTTTAAAGAAATTAATCTAAATTTTATGTTTGGCCAGAGTTGGCAAAGACAAAATAGAAACTATGAATGGGTTAAATGACCCGTGTATGACTTTTTGGAAAACTAAGGATCTTGAAAATTGGTCAACTGGGAGTGAAAAGAGGAAGCCAGTATAACAAATCTAAGCTATAATATGTTGTAAAGTATATATTAAGGTGTTGTTATGATGTTGAATTCTCAGTGGTGATCAAAATGTAATGAAGAGTGTAATTTCCCCTCAAGAGAGATTTATATATAATCCATGAAACTTCTGCAGAAAGGTCAGACTAATTGAGATTACCAGTGGAGAGAAAAGATAGGAGGATTGACTTAGTCATGTTCTCCACATGTGTGAGGTAGTGTTAGGTTAGGAGGAAATTCTTGGGAATAGGGACCCATCTTACATATATCAAGTGCAATACTTGAGAAATGGTTGGCATATCCATAAAGATGCTTGCTTTTGTCTCAAAGAAAAAAAGGTAGCCAAAGAGCAAGGTCAGCCTTTTGAATAATTTTATAAAATTACTGATTTTTCCAAATTCTCATCCCCCATCTCCTGAATTTACTATGAGTCTGTCAAAGTCATAGTCTGTTGCTTATCCTTATCCTTACTGAATCTGGGTTTCCATTATTGTTGCCCAGTAGGGAACAGGAAGGATATGAGACTTTCGGAGGCCTCATGCCTCTTACTCTGTAGTTTCACTGCTCATCTCTTCCTTGGGGGCGATCTGTTGCAGACCTGGGTGCTGTCATGGTTGACCATAGGTGAGGGACTGATGTTAAATAAATAATGAAAAACCAGGTTAGCTCTTTTTCTTCCTTGTGCACGTAGATTGCAAGAATTCAATAAGAGTTGATGTAAACAGTTCTTTTTCCAAAGTCTTTCAGGAATAACATTTATAAAAACTGGATTTAAAAATATATTCTGAAATTCAACATGATAGAAAAACAACAGATCTTTGAATTTAGCCTTCTCTCATGGGCTTGCCATGTACTGGCATTTGAAAGAAAACTTTTTCTTGGCTTGTTTTTGCATATTTTTGTCAAGAATGATAAAGTGTTCTGTAAGAGATACAACTACTTAGAATGAACTGCATACTTATCCTTAGAGGGAATAAATAGTTCAAGGTGACGTGTAGTGCTTGCTAAGACATGTCATGATATTTCAGCTGACTAAGCTTGGGATATTTCAGAGGAAGAAGCAAGTAAAAATGGCTATGTTTGCCACTAGGTTAATGAGGTACCACACATTTAATAATTTTCATTATCTTAGTCCAAGTTTTTATAAGCAGCATATAGAACATTAACAGGTAAGAGACTTTTTAAGGAGACTGACAAAAAGCTGTTTTCACAGTGTCTTAATGGCTTGGAGATGTGAAGGCCCAGAATCCTTAACTGTTCTTTTTTGTTTGATCCTTTCTCATTAGTTACAGTGATTCTGTAGGAAGGATTTCCTTTCAATTTTTACTGGCTTCTTCTGCTGTCCTGAGGGTAGAAATCTATTTGGGTACAGTTGTTTAGTCTTATGTTCTGCTGGCTCAGAACTGACGAATGTAGTCAACATCACTTTCTTCCATGCTGTGATGGAAATAGACAGTGTTGGCCAACCACAATGGCAATGGACCACTTGCCGTTTCCCTCAGGCATTTGCAGATCCAGTTGCTCTCTCTACTTGGAGATGTAAATCCTTCCATCTGCGTATGGATTGTTGTGGACCTTTGCTGCCAGCTCGGTAGAGAGCTTGGGGCTTCTCTGATGGCTCACATGGTAAAAACCCACCTGCAGTGCAGGAGACCTGGGTTCTGTCCCTGGGTAGAGAAGATCCCCTGGAGAAGGGAATGGCAACCCACTCCAGTGTTCTTGCCTGAAGAATTCCATGGACAGAGGAGCCTGGCAGGCTGTGGTCCATGGGGTCACGAAGAGTCAGACACTACTGAGCAGCTGACACTTTCACTTTCACTGTAGAGAGCTAAGCGTTTCTTGTTCCTCTTTGGTCCCTGATATAAGGGGATCTTTGCTTCACTTATTCCAAGCTTCTTGGTTTCTTGGTTGTTCCAAGTTTCTTAGAGTTATTTGCAATATTTAAACTTCTTTTTAGCAGAAAACATCAGTTTGATTCTGCTTTGCTATTATTTTCTATTATAATTTTGTTTATTAAAAATTCATTAAATGCCACTATTCACTCAAAAGCATTGGGTAAATAAAACCTAGACACTTAGATCAAAAAATTGAACGGGAACTTAGAGGCCACTTTATCTAGTTTTCCACGGTCTCTGTTTGAGCAGCTTTAACATTAAAAAAAATTTTTTTAATACACATTATCTTTTTTTTTTTTTCTCAGCACATAGATTTATTGCTCCTGTATTTATTTCAGCAACAAATATAGAACCAGACTCAAAATGACAACTTTACAAGCCAAGCAGGACCTGTAGTTGAATACATTCCCCAGAATAATGACATTTCCTCCTTGCAAACCAGCTGTTACCCAGAAGGTTAAGAAAGAAAACTCTCTCTGTGTAGCACTGTCTAGTTGGCTAGATCCAGGTGCTCCATGTATAAACATGGCTTTGATATACTCTAGTTTCAGATCTTTTGAGGTATCAGTTTTTGTGGGACTACCCCAAGTTGCCTCACCTTTCTTTGAAACACTGTGCTAAGTTGCTTCAGTTGCTACTTTGTTCTCTATATTCTGCTCTAACTCTCTTCTATTCTAACTGTGGCAGTCAGCTAAAGCACACCTCATGTCACTGGACTGCTACAAATTCATCAGAAGTTTCCCAGTGTTACCAAGAATACACTCTATCTCTTTATGATGGAGCACAGGCTGCTGTGTTATTGGTTCTTGTTTTCATCTTCACCCTTGTCCCATAGTACTGTCTTGCTTGCTCACTCTGCTTTCTTTTTTTTTTTTTAATTTTTATTTTTTTTATTAGTTGGAGGCTAATTACTTTGTAATATTGTAGTGGTTTTTGTCATACATTGACATGAGTCAGCCATGGATATACATGTATTCCCCATCCCGATCCCCTCTCCCACCTCCCTCTCGACCCGATCCCTTTGGCTCTTCCTAGTGCACCAGGTCCGAGCACTTGTCTCATGCATCCAACCTGGGCTGGTGATCTGTTTCACCCTAGATAATTTACATGTTTTGATGCTGTTCTCTTGAAACATCCCACCCTCGCCTTCTCCCACAGAGTCCAAAAGTCTGTTTTATACATCTGTGTCTCTTTTTCTGTTTTGCATATAGGGTTATCGTTACCATCTTTCTAAATTCCATATATATGTGTTAGTATACTGTAATGGTCTTTATCTTTCTGGCTTACTTCGCTCTGTATAATGGGCTCCAGTTTCATCCATCTCATTAGAACTGATTCAAATGAATTCTTTTTAATGGCTGAGTAATATTCCATGGTGTATATGTACCAGAGCTTCCTCATCCATTCGTCTGCTGATGGGCATCTAGGTTGCTTCCATGTCCTGGCTATGATAAACAGTGCTGCGATGAACATTGGGGTGCACGTGTCTCTTTCAGATCTGGTTTCCTCGGTGTGTATGCCCAGAAGTGGTATTGCTGGGTCATATGGCAGTTCTATTTCCAGTTTTTTAAGAAATCTCCACACTGTTTTCCATAGTGGCTGTACTAGTTTGCATTCCCACCAACAGTGTAAGAGGGTTCCCTTTTCTCCACACCCTCTCCAGCATTTATTGCTTGTAGACTTTTGGATAGCAGCCATCCTGACTGGCGTGTAATGGTACCTCATTGTGGTTTTGATTTGCATTTCTCTGATAATGAGTGATGTTGAGCATCTTTTCATGACACATTATCTTTTGATGGTGATCAAATGGAGAATTTTATAATCAGAATGAATTTAAAACACAATGTAAAATCTCCTTTTCAGAATATCTTCAGAAAAAAGAGTATACATTCTTATTAGTCTAAAATTGTTTAGAGGTAGAAATTGTTTATTTCACTCAACTCTAATTCTAGAACTTTATAATATAGCAGTGATAAAATAATTAAAAACTTTAAAAATTGCTTTATAGATTATCTGTTACATATGTGAGGTAGTTACCATATTAGACTAGGCAAATATTACATGTTTCAAAGAAAATTATCACTGTTTGCATTTAATAAAAATACATTTCAGAAAGTCATAAGAGTTGGGTTTTTTTTTTTGAAAATGGAAGTAAGCCAGTGTTTTCCTCATTGTTTTATAATAGACTTCAATTTAGACATAAAGCATATTTATATAAGTAAAATGTATGATATCAATTTTCCCCTTGAAAACTTTTCTGATTTTGCATATCTGTACATACCACGTATATGCACAGAGACTAATATCAATACTTGCAGGTGATTGCCTTACTAATGTTTTTCTTTCTCTTTTTTTAACAGGGCCTAATTGTTCAGATTTGAAGCAGCCTATGTATTTAGGATTTGAAAAAGATGTCTTTAAAACTATAGCTGATTACTATGGTCACTTGAAAGAACCTCTACTTACGTTTCACCTTTTTGATGCCTTTGTCAGTGTATTAGGTAAGTTGGAATATAGTGAACATATATCTACATTATTGATGTGCAAACATTTCATTTTTCTTTATCTTGAGACTTCTATTAGCCCAATTTCCGTAGTATTTTTGAAATAAAAACAAATGAGCTGCTTGCCTAGTTGGAGTCTTGCTGTATGCAGGAGGAAAAGAAAATAGTTAAGCTCTATTAATAAACCTAAACATGGACCAGTAGTTTTTATTTCTTAGGAAAGAATAATATGTTCATGTCATTTTTATACAAAAAAATATATAAGTTTATTGATAGAGAAGAATGTAAATTTGACATTTACTGTTCATGACTACTCTGGATATGACTTCATGAATAGTCAACCATGAGAGATAATCATTTAGAAATCTTTTTATAGAAGTAACAGGGTTTTGTAGGATTATTTGTTATTTGTGACATGTAAAATAAATATAGTAACTATTATTCTCTAAAACTTATTGCAATTTCTTACATATATTTATATTTCAGAATGTTGTATACTGTCCAAGAAACATGGTAAAAGAAGGAAAAACCAGTATTATTGGTGTAGGTCTTTCTGATAGTGTTCCTTTCTCCTTGGAAATTAGTTTTTTCTGTTCTTATCATGATTGTTGAATACGTATTATTGTTTTCTTGTAAACAAATGTTTGCTTTAATGACCAAATCACTGTGTGGGTATCATATTCTGTTATGTAAATTTGTAGAAATTAACATCCTTTTGGTTTAAGTGTTGTGGAGTTCAGCAGTCTTCACCTTCCCATGCTTCCTTCCCTTTCTCATTCTTGCTTCCCCTTCTCTTCCCTTTCTCCTGTCTGATTTTCTTCTTAGGAAGTATGTATGCTGCCATAGTATCCTAACAATCAGTAATATGTGAGTAATATACCTAATCTCTTGGCACAGTACTTTAAATTTTAAGATTTCATAGGGTTTCTGATAATAAGCAACATGGAACAATTTTAAATCATGTATCTAAGAGGGAATTTGTTTCAGAGAGATCAGTATTTAGAACGGATGACGGGTTTAGGCCTGTTACTGGGTTTTGAGACCACTGGGTCTTGATATTTTGTTTTCCACCAGGGAGTATGGAGGCTTGTGTCCTTGTGAACATCATGCCTGATGATGAGTGCCAGCTGTTGTTTAATATGCATAAGGACTCACTGAGTAGATTCTCTTCATAGCTACTTAGTGCCTTTATGCCACTGGGAAAATAATTCCAAAGACAAGATTACAAACCAGTTCTTAGATGTTCTTGTCATTTTCCATTTTCATAATGTTTTATGGTAAAATGATCTGATTTTGAAACAAAAGAACTTGGAAAAATTGTACTTAAAAATATTTATTTTATGTTGGAGTATATTTGATTAACAATGTTGTTAGTTTCAGATGTACAGCAAAGTAGTTCAGTTATGCATAAACATAACTGTATCCATTGTTTTTTTACCCATTTAGGCTATTACAGTGTATTGAGCAGAGTTCCCTGTGCTATGCAGTAGGTCCCTGTTGGTTATCTATTTAAATATAGGAGTATGTACATGTTAGTTCCAGATTCACAGTCTACCCCTCCCTCCTGCCCATCCTCTGGTAACCATAGTTTGTTCTCTAAGTCTGAGTCTGTTTGTTTTGTAAATAAGTTCATCTGTATCATTTTTTTAAGATTTCAAATATAAATGATAGCATGTTATCTCCCTTTCTCTTACTTCACTCAGTATGATGATCTCTAGGTCCATCCATGTTACCGCAAATGACGTTTCATTCCTTTTAATGACTGAGTAGGTCCATTTATATATGTACCACAACTTCTTTTCCCATTCATCTATCTGTGGACATTTAGGCTGTGTTCATGTCTTGGCTATTGTGAACAGTGCTTCAGTGAACATTGGGGTGCATGTAACCTTTCAAACCATGTTTTTCTCTGGATACATGCCCTGAAGTGGGATAGCTGGATCCCACTCTAGCTCCGTTTTTGATATTGCTCTATTTTTAGTTCTTAAGGAGCCTCCATACTTGTGTTCATAGTGGCTGTATCAGTTTACATTGCCACCAACAGTGTAGGAGGGTTCCCTTTTCTCCAGGTCCTCTCCAATATTTATTGCTTGTAGATTTTTTCTTATAATGGCCATTTTGACTGGTGTGAGGTGATATCTCATTATAGTTTTGATTTGCATTTCTTTAATAATTATTGATGTTGATTATCTTTTCATATGCCTCTTGGCCATCTGTATCCTTGGAGAAATGTTGAGACTTCTGCCCATTTTTTGATTGGATTTTTTTTGATATTTAGCCACACGGACTATTTGTAAATTTTGGGAGATTAATCCCTTTAGTCACATCGTTTGCAAATATTTTCTCCCATCTGTGGGTTGTCTTTTCATTTTCTTTATGGTTTCCTTAGCTGTGCGAGTGTGCTAAGTCACTTCAGTCGTGTCCGACTCTTTGCAACCCTGTGGACCATAGCCTGCCAGGCACCTCTGTCCATGTGATTCTCCAGGCAAGAATACTGGACTGGGTTGCCATGCCCTTCTCCAGGGGATCTTCTCAACCCAGGGATTGAACCCTCATCTCTTACGTCTCCTGCATTGGCAGGCAAGTTCTTTACCACTAGTGCCACCTGGGAAGCCCCAATTCTTTTTTTAAAGTTTATTGTTAATTGAAGGATAATTGCTTTACAGAATGTTGTTTTCTGTCAGACATCAACATGAATCAGCCATAGGTGTGCCATAGGTGTGCATAGCCTTGCCCCCATTCTTTTGCTGTCAAAAGCTTTTGAGTTTAATCAGGTCCCATTTGTTTGTTTTTATTGCCATTACTCTAGGAGATGGCTTGAAAAAGATATTGTTGCAATTTATGTCAAAAGAGTGTTCTGCCTGTATTTTCCTCTTAAGAGTTTTATAGTGTCCTTACTTATATTTAGGTCTTTAATTCATTTTGAGTTTATTTTTGTGTGTGGTGTCAAAGAATGTTCTAATTTCATTTTTTTCCATGTAGCTGTCCAATTTTCTCAGCACCATTTATTGAAGGGACTGTCCTTTCTTCACTGCATGGCTTTTCCTTTTTTGTTGTAGATTAATTGACCATAGGTGTGTAGTTTATTTCTGGGCTTTCTTTCCTGTTCTATTGATTTATTTCTGTTTTTGTGCCAGTTCTGTACTGTTTTGATGACAGTAGCTTTGTAATATAATCAGAAGTCAGGGAACCGGGTTCTTCCAGCTCCTTTCTTTTTTCTCAAAATTGCTTCGGCTATTTGTGTTTCCATACAGATTTAAGATTTTTTGTTCTAGTTTTGTGAAAAATGACATTTTATAGAAATATCACTGAATCTGCATATTGCCTTGGGTAGTATAGTCATTTTGACAGTATTGATTCTTCTAATCCACAAACAAGGTATATCTTTCTATTTTTGTCATCTTCAATTTCTTTATCAGCATCTTACCATTTTCAGAGCACAGGTCTTTTGCCTCCTTAGATAGGTTTATTCCTAGGTGTTTTCTTCTTTTCGTTGCAGTGGTAACTGGAACTGTCTCTTTGTCTTTTTGACCTTTCATTGTTAGCATATGGAAATGCAACAGATTTCTGTGTATTAATTTTGCATCCTGCAACTTTACCGAATTCACTGATGAGCACTAGTAGTTTTCTAGTAGCATCTTTAGGATTTTCTATGTATCGTATCATGTCATCTGCAAACATTGACAGCTTTCTTTTTTTTCTAATTTGGATTTCTTTTATTTCTTCTCTGATTACTGTTGCTAGGACTTCTAAAACTGTGTTGAAAAATGGGGCAAGGGTGGACATCCTTGTCTTATACCTGATTTTAGATGGAATGCTTTCAGCTTTTCACTCTTGAGTATGATGTTTGCCGTAGGTTTGTCATATATGGCTTTTATTATGTTGAGGTATGTTCCCTCTATGGGAACAGTCCATAGAGATTGCAAAGAGTTGGACTCAACTGGGTGACTGAACAACAACAGTGTTCCCTCTGTGCCCACTTTCTGGAGAGTTTTTGTTTTTATCATAAATGGATGTTGAATTTTGTCAAAACCTTTTTTGCATCTACTGAGATGATATGGTTTTTATTCTTCAGTTTGTTGATATGGTGTACAACACTGATTTGCGAATATGGGGAAATCCTTGTATCACTGGGATAAATCCCACTTGATTATGGTATATGATCCTTTTAGTGCATTGTTGCATTTGGTTTGGTAGTATTTTGTTGAGGATTTTTGCATCTGTATTCAGCAGTAATTTTCTGCTGTAATTTTCTTTTTTGTGTGATATCTTTGTAATTTTCTTTTTTTGTGATCTTTGTCTGGTTTTGGTATCAGCCTATCATTTTCTTTTTTTGTGATATATTTGTCTGGTTTTGGTATCAGGGTGCTGGTGGCCTCATAGAATGATTTTGGGAGTGTTCCTTCCTCAGCATTGTTTTGGAATAGTTTCAGAAGGATAGGTCTTAACTCTTCTTTAAATGTCTGATAAAATTGTTTGTTGGGAGTTTTCAAATCAGTTTCAGTACTTGTGATTGGTCACTTCATATTTTCTATTTCTAACTGGTTCGATCTTTGGAAATTGTACCTTTATAAGAATTTGTCCATTTCTCTAGATTTTCCATTTTATTGGCATATAGTTGCTTATAGTAGTCTCTTTTGACCCTTTGTATTTCTGTGATGTTCATTGTAACTTCTTTTTCATTTTTAGTTTTATTGATTTGAGCCTTTTCTTTTTCTTGATGAATCTGGCTAAAGGTTAATTTTTTTTGTTTATCTTTTCAAAGAACCAGCTTTTGGTGTCATTGATCTTTTCTCTTGTCTGTAGTTCACTTGTTTTTGTTCTAATCTTTATGATTTCTTTCCTTCCACTAACTTTGGGTGTTTTTTCTTTCTCTGCTTGCTTGAGGTTTAAGGTTAGATTGTTTATTTGAGATTTTTCTTGTTTCCTGAGGTAAGATTGTATTGTTATACACTTATATCTTAGAGGGGCTTCCCAGGTGGTGCTAGTGGTAAAGA